AACATCTCGCCCCAGGTCTTCAAAAGCATGGGAATATTTTAAAGTTAGTCCAAAATGCAAAGATATTTATATATTTATATCTCACTGAGACTGCTGCTTGACCGGAAGCAGCAGCTAGCTGTGGTGGCAACCATTAGCAGCTAGCATTTGCTCTCCGATTTAAAATGGAATTATGGATTATAAATTCAATAATTTTTTTATACATAGACGTTAAAAACCTATGGATTAACCGATTCAGCTGCGTTTTTTCTCATTTGAATGCCATTGAACACGTATTTTGATCAGATTGACAGCTACGGCGGTGAGACGATCTCCCTAGAAGCTCTGTGAAGGTACGTGTTGTGATGACTGTATTTGCTTCCCCTGTCGCGAGTCCGGATCACTCAGTGATGATACTATGTACCTACATAATCTGTGGAGTCTCAGCTTTAATCGGATATCTTGTATGTGCAGCTACGATAAGTAATAAGGGTACTTTTATCTTGAGATCTATGCCAATGTCCGTTAGCATTTTTCGCTCAGGGGTCATTTAGATGCTTCTTATGAGACTTGTGTTTTGTTTTGGTAAACATGGTTTGTATCGTCAGTTAGCTGAGATTATTTCCGTTAATCTGGTATAACACATTAATAGGTTCTTAAATATTAAGATCCCCTGAGACACAGTATCGTGAAAAAAAAATGTTTTACATTACGTTTTTTTTACATTACGTTTTTTATGAATTGAACAACAGAAAAATAATCGTTCGATTAGTCGACTAATCGATCAAATAATCGCCCGATTAATCGTTTTCAAAATAATCGTTTCCCCCCAGCACTAGTGAAAATACAAACAAGGGAGATTTCAGTGCTCTTTTTTTTTACATGTAGACCACATTAGACCAGGTCCTGATCTAAAACCGCTAGACCTAGACTCATCAAATCTGGACTGGATTATCCCAGAGAGGCTAAAGATTCTTTATAACACAGTTTCAGATTTGTGAAATCTTTATTCTATTTGTGAAAATACAAAAAGTGAGATTTCAGTGCTTTTTTTTTTTACATGTAGACTACATTAGACCAGGTCCTGATCTGAAACCACTAGACCTACACTCATCAAATCTGGACTGGATTATCCCAGAGGGTCTAAACATTCTTTATAACACAGTTTGAGATTTGTGAAACCTTAATTCTATTTGTGAAAATACAAACAAGGGAGATTTCAGTGCTTTTTTCGCATCCTGACCACATTAGACCAGGTCCTGATCTAAAACCACTAGACCTACACTCATCAAATCTGGACTGGATTATCCCAGAGAGTCTAAACATTCTTTATAACACAGTTTCAGATTTGTGAAACCTTTATTCTATTTGTGAAAATACAAAAAGTGAGATTTCAGTGCTTTTTTTTTTACATGTAGACCACATTAGACCAGGTCCTGATCTAAAACCACTAGACCTACACTCATCAAATCTGGACTGGATTATCCCAGAGGGTCTAAAGATTCTTTATAACACAGTTTCAGATTTGTGAAACCTTTATTCTATTTGTGAAAATACAAACAAGGGAGATTTCAGTGCTTTTTTTACATGTAGACCACATTAGACCAGGTCCTGATCTGAAACCACTAGACCTACACTCATCAAATCTGGACTGGATTATCCCAGAGAGGCTAAAGATTCTTTATAACACAGTTTCAGATTTGTGAAACCTTAATTCTATTTGTGAAAATACAAACAAGGGAGATTTCAGTGCTTTTTTCGCATCCTGACCACATTAGACCAGGTCCTGATCTAAAACTACTAGACCTACACTCATCAAATCTGGACTGGATTATCCCAGAGAGTCTAAAGATTCTTTATAACACAGTTTCAGATTTGTGAAATCTTTATTCTATTTGTGAAAATACAAACACAGGTAGAAGGCTGAGGTTGCTGCAGCAGGCCAGGATCAGAAAGTGAACCTCCCAGCTGGGCAAGCCTTTATGCCTTCTTGAGGCTCCGCCTCTAGATGGGCGGGCACAAAAAGGACGACACTCCCAGTACCTGCCAGAGGACAGCAAGGCAGGGAGCACAGACAGGCAGAAGGGGGGAGGGGTCGTCACAACATGTTATTTTGTTTTATTGTTCTGTCTTTTTATTTATTTAAGTATTCCAGTAATGTATGTTGCATGTTTTAATTTGATTGTATTTACTTGTTTAAATGAAATTTGTTTTAGGTTCACTTATAAAATCTGTCCAGGGACAACTACGGTGGCCCTGAGAGGCCAGGGTGCTGCAAATAAAAGAACGCTGCAAATTAAAAAACCGCTGCAAATAAAAAGAAACAGAAACGCCGTGCAAATAAAAACGCCGCGATGCAAATAAAAAAGCCACAACGGAAGTGAATTACCGGGGACTATTATTGCTGATGCACATGCGGTTTTTTATGCGAGAGAAGAAGAAGTCTGGGGGATCTCCAGGAAACATCTCTTGGGTAAGTTTATAATGTTAAAGTTACACAGGATGTAGATAATATCTGTCGCTGCCGTATTTATGACTTTAAATGACGTTATTTTGTGTGTGGGAGCAGATTATGTGTGTAGTGTATAATGTTAGTAGAACATAGCTTTGATCAAAACTGCAGAAAGCTATTTTGAAGTTGTTTACTTGTCTATGAAAACTGATTCTGATTCTGCTCGATTTATCCGTGCAGCTTGAACCGTTTTAAATCTAGACTACCACACACACACACACACACACACACACACACACACACACACACACAGTATTATTGCATGTTTAACTGCCTGAGGCTTGTCTTGCCCTTGTCAGTGGGGAATGTCGTGATTAAGACACACTTGCAATCCATGTTGGGATATTCCTTGTATTAAGCCAGCGTTGAAAGTAGTACTGATTAGTCTTTCCAAATGTGTTCGTGTTATTTACGTGTTATTCAGAGCTTGTGCCCGTACTAAACGGACCGATTGTTTGGCTCCCATAATTGCTGCTTGCAATGTTGTCCGGGGGGCGTACCCGATCGGAGCGCGTAGATTCGTTAAAAATAAAGGTTTAGAAAAATTAATCCCAAAAAATTCTAAATGAAGGATGCACATCATCGTGCAATCCGCAAGCCATATACGAAAGTTTAGATCGATCTGACAAACAGTCAGAGAGATATGCGAGACACAGACACACACAGACATTTCTTGCTTTATAGATAGATAGATAGATAGATAGATGTTCATGCAATTGAAGCGCAAAGCAACCTAATGATACTTTATTTATTTTGTTGCAGGTCATAATGTATTGTCCTTTTTGTGGACAGCAGCAGGCTTCTAAATCAGCCTTTTGCTGTTCATGTGGCAAGGACATCAAATTCCTGTGTGATGTTGATAAAACAGGCACAAGTGGAGGTAATTTTTTTTAATTTTTTTTTTTTATTAGGCTTAGGTCCTAATTTTCTGTCAGAGGATCTGGTCAGCTACATCTCAGGGCAGAGCAGTTTCAAGGCATCTGTCGGAGACATTACAGATGAGGAGATAGGGAAAGTCCTACAAGAGGTATGAGAAGGGTGTGAAATTCTAGAATAGGTAAAGAGATAGTTTTGTCCACTTAAACCATTCTTTCAAGATATACTTCTGGCATTACCATTTTTTATAATTACGTGTCATATTTGAAATGTGTGGGACTCTGTTATCTCTTCTTTTAGATTCAGAATTCACCCTCAGTGGAGATCCTTCAGGACTTGATGATACGGAACAGTGCCATGTTGCAGACTGCTGGGTGCTTCAGACATGTCAGGTCATGTGAAGAAAAAAAATGATTGTAGAGGATTACCTGAAGTGGTACATAATCCACAGGAACAACACTGCAATCGAAAGGTAGGTTTTTGTATTTCATTGTTATTGCTAAAATAATTATGAAAAACGTGTTGCTGTTGTCCCATTTTCTTGCTTACTTACTGATGCACATGTATCTTTGCATGCATCTTTTAATTGTATTTTAGATTCAAGGCTGGACTTGAAAGTTTGCCGTTTCTGACAGCTCTGCAGCAGCATCCGACGGTTCTGACCCCTGCTCTCTGTCATGCCGATATGAAGCTGTCTGCTGCAGAGATGGAAAATCTGTTCCAGCCTGAATTTAGTCAACAGGGAAGCAACAGAAGGGCTCAGGAAGAGAAAGCTATGAGTTACTGGGCAGACTATCTTCTCGATTGTGAAGGTTAGTCAATTTGCTCTTGTCTGATTTTTATACACACAGATTATAAAAAGTTCCGGTGTTGATGTAGATAGTATTTACTGTCAATTGATTCCAATGTTCTCTACTTTTTAGAAAATGACAGCTCAGTGACCTTGGAGGAGGTGTTAATGTTCGCTACAGGTGTGCCATGTGTGCCTCCTGCTGGTATGAGTCCTCTGCCACGCCTTCAATTCCTATGTTCTACAACGTCAACATTCCCAATGGCAAATACCTGTGCCAACATTTTAAAGCTTCCTCTTTTGGACACTTATGGTGCCTTCAAAGCCAACATGAACTTTGGCATTAATAATTCCCCCGGCTTTGGGTGCCTTTAAACAATTAAATAACTTGTGGTAAAAGTTAATGTTGCCACACACAGTCCGTTGTTTTAATGTTGCGGTCTGTCCGACCAAAATGTTGTGACGTAGGAGAGATGAGTATTTTTCATGGCAGATTTGTCCTATTTCATATCTAACATGTGAACAACACCACACATTTGTATTGTATTGTATTCTCGTTAGGTAGGTAAGGTAGACCGTGGTTAAATCAAGAGTTCAGAACATGTGTTAAGATGTTTTACAAATATTTACATAAACAGTAAATAAAGACTGCAAAAGGCACCTTGTCGTGCAAATGTGCCAATTTTGTTTTGGCCATTTTATCATGTTTTTACATGGACTTTGTGAAAGAGTAAAGCTGAATGACTCTTCATTAAATGGTTTAAAAGTGTTTCATTTTAACGTAAGGACTTGTTTTCTACGTATAGCATATGTTACACACTCGCTACAAAGATGACACGGCTGTAGCTGGTTCACAAGATTTTATTCTCAGATCCACTGTGAAAACAGAAATAACAGTAGCATATGTGACTGATGCAATGAATGAATGTTATTGTTGATTCATCAATTTGTTATGGGCTGTGTCTGAAATCACTCACTACTCACTATATAGAATTCCCTATAGTGTGAATGAGAGTGATTTCGGACACGCCTTGGTCTTTAAAATGTCAGAAAGTTAAGCCTCACAGAGAACAAATTAATCCAGCAAATATTCACATTTTAGAGGCTGGAACCTGCTTATATTCAAAACAAAATTAAAATCAATTACCAAAATATTAGGTGTATAATTTTCTGACGATCGACCATTCAACTGATAACACGGATGTAACACTAAACATGTTTTACAAAATACATGAATATGCTGTATGTTTATTTAAACAAAGAAAGGTTTCAGTCTAATGACTTATGCAAAGATACAAGCTGAATATTTCACTGGACTTATCTACTCAGAATTGCAGCATTCTAAATAATATTCAACCTACATTGGAAACTTGTACACACAAAAAAGGTTCTGGGGGGCTGGTGGGGCAATGTATTCTACACTCCAGACATGTTTTTCATGGAAATGTAATTCTGAACAGCAGCTGTCCAGTTCACTGGTGGAGCCAACCCACTCCGTCTTTGCAAGTCCACAAAATGCATCTCCAGATTCTCATCACCACACAAATTGTACTGGGATGATGCTTGCATGATGCCATCAAAGTGGTGTAGGGCTTCCCAGGACACTGGAAATCCACACTCCCTTCCGCCAAACCTAAGACCAGTCATAAATTGAAACATAATGAGTCAAGTGATTACAAATGGATCATTTAACCCCCCCAAACATGCTAGATAAGCATTATAACTAAAACTCCATTGAGTCAGTTCTTCGTTAATTAAATCCTAAACAAAGAGCTTTGACTTGAGAAGTTAATCTCAGGTTGACAGCAGCTCTTTCAGTCAAATATGGTCATTCTACTCACTTTCTAACACAAGGTACTTTTTGGAATTGAGTAAGATAAATCGACAGAATAGCTTTGGACATTTTCTGATTTATCAGAATCCATTTTTAGTCGTTTAAGACTTGAAATCATTTTTGAAATAATGAGTTTTCAGACTAAATGAATCACGTTATTTATCAAGTGACAAACTTGTCATATTGGGCTGATACACCAAATTATATGAAGTCAGATATATTTTAAAGTAATATTACCAAACAATTTCAATACAAACCTGTGAGGCAGGTGGTACATGGCATCAGGTTTACCTGATGGACACTGAGACAGGCGAACAGGTCGGATGGTGTGGTTGTTCCACAGCTGTCTGTACTCATCGAGGTCTTTTTGTAAGATGCCCAAAAACACATATCGCAGCAGACACTTGTGCTCATGGCTCCCATTGAAGAGGTGCCTCTCTCTAAGGTCACTGAAGAGCTCGATCCAGAACTGAGTCCTAATGGTGGAATTCAAAACTTTTGTATTTCATGAAAAAAAGACAACAAATATTTCTAGAAATGTTGTACATTTCTTGGTGCGCTCCTACATTATTTCATTTGGGAGCACATAAACTCCCTTGGGAAAATGTTAGTGTACAGCTCTAATGTAATTTCACAATTTTTTCAATTGTTTTCATCCAGATAGATTTAAAGTATTTGGGCACCTCTGTACTATATACACACACACATACATTCTTGGACCTGACCTTAAAAGGCTATACCTTTGCTTTCTGAAGAAAGACCACCAACTCTCGATGCGCTGGTTTGCAGTTGAGGTACCATACATGTGACTGAGGGCTCCTGCAAAATCATGTGTGTTGAGATCGTAATGTGCAGTTAATGGCTGCCATAGTGCCGTTTTCAGTTCCACAGTCAGTGCGAAGGCGGGCTGGAAGTAGTCCAAACTCCGATACACACTGCAGGTAATACTGCGCAATGATGCCCGGATCGTTGTTAGTGCTGCCACTCCTGAGCCACATAACTTTCCTTGAAAAGCCGTCGATGCAGCCACTGATGGCAATACCAAAGGGTTTAAGTTTATCATATCCATCAGCGTGCCACACTTGGTTTGGTCCTGCTGTGACGTATCCCCTTCGGACAAACCTTCGCCTGGAACGAAGTTGAACACCAGATGGATCCAGTCTGGAAATCGTCTGTCTAACATCCTCCCTTTTTACTGTCAGGTGATACTTTTGTTGCAATGTCTGCCACATAGCTCTGTAACCCAACAGCCGACCCGAGCCTCTCAGTTCATGTGCAACAGTTTGGTGTACTGTGCCAATGGGAGTGTAGTCTGTCCTTCTTGTTAAGCCAGCGTTCTGTAGCCTCCTCTTTAAGGTCCTCAGACTAAGAACAATGTTGTGTCTTTTTTCTAGAAAATCAAGTATCACTTCATAAGCGTGTCCCTCTGTGAAGTACTTGTGGATGAGGCCTGCCTCGATTCCTTCATCATTCGATTCTGTGACTGAAGGGAAAAGACAACAGTGTCATTAGGAATGAAACTTAATAAGAAAAAAATGAAAATGTATCAGTAATGAGGAAAATACCTGAACTGTTTGATGCATAAGTGTATGTTTTCAGTATGTTCAATGCGTGAACAATTCCAGACATGGAGCAAAAAATAAGAGAAATAAACAGGCAAAGGACAAAATATTGGGATACTTACATAATTGGTAAGGATAAAAATACATATCAATCTAGAGGTAGCGAACAAAAAGGTACCCTTTTAATGCCTGTATTTGTGCATAAACGCATCAGAAGGCTCAACCCTCACATGAAGGAGCACATAATTGGTCAACTTTGGTATTTCACCTGATTTTTTTAGTTGTTGGCATTTTTTTTTATCAGTAGTTCTAAATCATGTTGAAATTGCCATGACTGACAATAATATGTGTATAGCATATATTAAAATGGCAACAAATCATATACAAATAAGATATTATCACTGTACTGGTGAAATTCTTGACTTTTAAGGAGGAGCTTACCATCTTCGAGAAAGGGAGCCAAACATTCAATGTTGCTAATGTTACCTGCAAACAGCTGACACTAATTTAACAGCAGATATCAGCTGCAATCACTTAATATCTGAACCATGCATCCATCTACAATGTCAAAATACATAAAAAAAAAAAAAAGAAGAAAGATTTAAAGCCAGTAAACTTCCCAAAGGAAGCACGTCTTGGACAGGATAGAGACCCTTCTCTATCTCTAAGCAGGATAAGAGACCATCATTTATCTCTAGACAGGCACATTTAGATGACATGTTGATAGAGTCAAGATTGACTACAGGATGTTAGTGAAGATCTAATATGTATTCAATATAGGGCTGGGCAACGATTAAAAGTTTTAATCGCGTTTCCTGCGATTAACGCGCTAATAACGCGTTAACTTGCCCAGCCCTAATTCAGTAAAAGTTGTTCCTTCAGAGCATGTTGAGGAGAGGACCCGAGCTCGTCTGTTGAATAAAGGCATATTCAACTTACTTTGTGTGTCTTAGCATCATCTTTAAGTCCCGGTCGGCTCAGATCCGTTTGTTTAGAAAACAGCTAACGTTAGCAGATAAAAGTAGCTATGTTCTACTAACATTATACACTACACACATAATCTGCTCCCACACACAAAATAACGTAATTTAAAGTCATAAATACGGCAGCGACAGATATTATCTACATCCTGTGTAACTTTAACATTATAAACTTACCCAAGAGATGTTTCCTGGAGATCCCCCAGACTTCTTCTTCTCTCACATAAAAAAACCGCATGTGCATCAGCAATAATAGTCCCCGGTAATTCACTTCCGTTGTGGCTTTTTTATTTGCATCGCGGCGTTTTTATTTCTTTTTATTTGCAGCGTTTTTTAAATTTGCAGCACCCTGGCCTCTCAGGGCCACCGTAGCCAACAGATGAAAAATAGCCTCTTGGCTAACTCTGGCATATTGACAGGAATGTTAATTAATGTGCACTGTCCCTATTAAACAAATGAATACATAAATAAAAATAAGTGTATGCTCCTCATTTAGGTGATAATTCTTTATCTACAAAGTGTTTGTATCTTAAATACTGTTTCATAGCAAACAAAAAAATGAAAGAGATGTTAAAGGAATTCAGGTTCATGAGATAAAGAAAAAGGCTAACCTTCAGTCTTTCATCCACTTTGAACAGCTTCTGCTGCTTTGTCCTAAAGCAAAATATGAATAGCAATTATTTTTACCAAAGTGTTATTTTCTAATCTTGTAATGTTTTTCACATTCCAAGCAATCCTAGTACTCAAGATGACATACTGTAATTAGGCAAAGCTTGTTGCTTAAAGTAAACTTGAACAATGCTAGTTATAGACTATATTTAATTTCCTGTTGAAATGTTTTGCCTGCAACTGTAAATAAATTAAGTTTATATAAGTATACTACTACTTATCTGTTGAATTGTTATTTGCAACACAAAATTATAATACATTTGAGAAGTAAAGACTTTATTCTTCCTTAATTAGCTGTCCATACTTACCAGATTTGATGAGTCTAGGTCTAGTGGTTTTAGATCAGGACCTGGTCTAATGTGGTCTACATGTAAAAAAAGCACTGAAATCTCACTTTTTGTATTTTCACAAATAGAATAAAGGTTTCACAAATCTCAAACTGTGTTATAAAGAATCTTTAGACCCTCTGGGAAAATCCAGTCCAAATAAATCGGCTATGCAGCGATTTAAGAGGTTCAAACACGGAGGATTGTTCGCTCATCGCTGTAAATTAAATGTCCCTTAACTTTCCCCTTAACTGCCGAATCGGATGCTCTGAATCGGAAGCCAACTTCAGCGTCGTAGGTAAGCTGATGTTACATTTTTGTCCATGTCACGGTGAAATTTAAATGATGGGTAGTGACTGTATCGCCGTTTTAGAGATGGCGCTGCTGAAAAGACTGCAACATAAGTAAAGATAATGAATAAATCCTATTAAAACCTGTGTCGCTTATATGATATGATATGATAAGTCTAATTAGTACAAGCAGCATAACGTTTCACCATGTAACTAAAGATTGTAGTCAGGGAAATCAGTTTGACATATTGAACTAATAACAAATCACCTCTGGCTGGCAGAGAACTCTCTGCTCCATAGCTTCTCTTGGATGTAAAATCACATGTACATTTTACATTTATATTCAATTTAATATTCCATCCCTCACATACTTTTGTATATATAATAACTTATATTTTGTTTTTCTTGTTATGCTGCTGCAACACAAACATTTCCCAAATTGGGATCAATACAGTAATATCTTAATTAATTAAGAAATATAACTATTATAATTAGTGTAGCAGCTGACACCTATTTTCAATATGGATTAATCTACCATTTATTTCTTTAGTTCAATTTTGATCTATAAAAATAGTGAAAATGTTCACAAGACTTATCAAAGTGCAAGATTATATCTAGATGTTTTGTTTTAGCCTATGTACTGTATGTCTTAAAGCTCTTATATGTGACGGTGTGACTTCCATGAAACTAATATTTTATATCTTCCCAACAGACGAGCTGACAGGAAACCTAACACTCTAACAACAACAACATTGCAAAGGCGAGTAAATGTAAATTCAAAACAATTCACAATTTCTTAATTTCTTCTTCTTTCTTGCAGTGAGGTGAAGTTGACCTTGCACTTGGTGCCAGTAAGGATGCTCCTCACGCAGGCTGAATGTTTCTCCTTCCTTACTGACACAGAAGCCCTTGATTTGCAATGCTTCACTAATTGTCATTTCCCTGGCTCCGTAGGGACACTTTACCTCCAGCACAGCGGAAGACCCTACCAGACCATCTGGAGATGCCCCCAACACTCCTGATTGGGAGAGCCACAAACCTGACTCATGGACCTGCATCTGGGTTGCAGTGGTGAATGCCCTGACGCCCTCACATTCATTCATAGTCCCCCACTGTACAGACAAAACACCATCAAGGGCTTGTTGTTGCCCTAGCACCCTGGCAATAAGGGAAGCAGTCACACGCTTTGACCTCAGGACAGCTCCAAAGTTGCTGGCAGTCAACCTTCCTTTCCTGAACAAATGCCAGTTTGGGTTGGTTTGCTGACCAGTGGTAGCCACCTGAATTGCCCTCTGTAGCTCCTCAGACAATGCCATGCTTGCCACAATTGCCTCAGGTCCCTGATGCCCAACAGATTTGATAATTTCAGGAACAGTAAGTGTTTCCAAGCTGTAGTGTTCCTCTTCTGGCTCGGGGGAGAGAAGCCAAGAAATTCCTGAAAACCTGCCCCCGAGTCTGTCCCTCAGCCAGTCACGATCTTCGGAGGTGGGCTCTCTTGTCAGCGGGTTCAATTAGTTATTGGTTGGAGGAAATAGCTCCTCCACTGAATGCGTATGTTTAGCTGCCTTTGGCTTCTTCCACTGATAGGGGGTGTCAGTGCAGCTGAAATTGTAGATGGCGAATGCAGCCGCATGACTGCATTTCCATTCTCCACGTGGGCATTCACATTTTGTGGAGAGAATTCCCTCTTCTCCTGTAGATACCTGTGGTGGTGGGATTGTTTTATTATTTAAAATATGTTTACATTTGTAATGCCTTCCCCATTATCCCTTTAATTGTTTATAGCCTATAATGTTTATTTCATGGATATGTCTGTGTTTTCTGGTGTGTAATATTTGTAATAAAGATTTCATGTGACACTCTACACCAGGGGTGCCCAACCAGTCGATCGCGAGGAGATTCCCAGTCGATCGCGAGATGTGTCTAAAAATAGAACAACAACATTCTGTTTTATCGTTAATGTCCTGTAACATAATGTTCCTGTGATAGAATAATGCACTTGAACGCATCAAAGCTTTGTGATTGGCCGGCGTGACCCCATGTGTCGGGGCGTGGCTCGTGGGCAGTGGGCACTATTTCGCTGACGTTGTTGTTCGACCGTGTCAACAGGAGTGACAGTCCACACACACACACACACAAGACCGCAATTATGGCAGAAGCAAAAAAGCCCGAGTGGGAGGATGATTATTTTTGTATCTATTCCAATTCAAAGTCCATCTGTCTCATCTGCAATGCGAGCATGGCTTTATCGAAGAAAGGTAATTTAGGAGCGACATTTCAAAACAGTGCACAAACGCTACGAGACGGAATTCCCTCCTAATTCTGCCCTACGCTCCCAAAAGGGGAGGGGCCTGAAAGGACAGCTAAATGCACGGCAGTCCATTTTCACCAGGCCCAACAACAAGAGCAAGGCTGCTACCAGAGCATCTTATCGTGTCAGTCACGTTCTTGAGAAACACATGAAGTCTTTCAAAGACGGCAAAGTTGTGAAAGAAGCATTCCTGGAGGCTGCTGACGCGCTTTTTGGGGACAGTAAAAATAACAGTAGCATTTCAACAGGTTTTTGATATAATAAATACTCAAGTTAGATACCGTTATTAATCAGCTGTAAGTTTTAGTTTGTTAGAACTTATTATTATAATTATTGTACAAAATGGTATAAGAATGCAAACATTAAGATCTGTTCTGTTTAAATTGATTATAGTCTATTATTAATTCAGGTTAAGAAGCTAGTGTTGCTTGCATCCTATTTTAAAGGCATTTATTTTTATATTCTACTAAAATGCAACAAAAAAATTGTTTGATTCTATTAATTTTGTCTTTTTTATTGCACTTTGGCAGCAGATTCCTGTGTAGCTTCAGATCTGAGTTGTCTTATTAGTAAGCCGAATGTATACTTTTGTAGCAACACTATTTTTATATAATGGCAAAGAAAGGGTTCAGATTATTTTCTTTTTTCCCTGTGTCATATGTGGCAACACTGTTCAATGTTTCTTGAAAACATTACCCACTGTAGTGACGTGTGAATAAACTCCAACTCTGTATCAACAACACTGTTGTGTAACTTCAGTTAAATACTTGTATGTGTGTAGATTAGAAAGAGGTAAGATAAAGGATCTGCAGTATTTTATGAAGTATTAATCGTACAAAGGTCAGTTTTATACAAGTAGAAGTGTGTATTTACCTGGTAGTAGGCTGTCAGTAATGGCTACGCCTCTCTATTTGGACTGGTAGATCTCGGCAGACTGGCAACTTTAAAAGTAGCTCTCGGGTCAAAAAAGGTTGGGCACCCCTGCTCTACACTCTTCTTGTCATCTTAGTAAAACGATATCAGACTGGTAATTGACACAGCCATGACTTCTAGTTAAATTCAGTGTGGCTCAATGAAAAGCTTTGTTAAAATATGCAAGCGCGCAAAAGTCAAAGTCAGCTTTATTGTAAAAAATTCTACATGTGTTATACATCCAGAAATATCGAAATATCGTTTCCCACAGTGTGACATGTATACATAAAACAAAACAAAAAGGGCCTAGATAAACGTGGTACACATTAAACAAAACAAAAAAGGGCCTAGATAACCGGGGTATACAGTTTAAAATGTTAAAGTATTCAAAGTGCAGTTTCAGTGCAAGTCAGTTGAAACGATCTTAAATTGGCGTGACGTTGAAGTTGTGCGACCCTGCTGCTGTACTGGCTTGTAGTTCGTTTATAGCATAACGTTAGCATTTTGCTTCTGGCGACTAGATTTATGATTCAAAAATGATAAAAGTAGGGTTGACTAGTGCTGGGGGGAAACGATTATTTTGAAAACGATTAATCGGGCGATTATTTGATCGATTAGTCGACTAATCGAACGATTATTTTTCTGTTGTTCAATTCATAAAAAACGTAATGTAAAAAAAAGTAATGTAAAAAAAATTTTTTTCACGATACTGTGTCTCAGGGGATCTTAATATTTAAGAACCTATTAATGTGTTATACCAGATTAACGGAAATAATCTCAGCTAATTGACGATACAAACCATGTTTACCAACACAAAACAAAACACAAGTCTCATAAGAAGCAAACTAAAATGCTATCTAAATGACCCCTGAGCGAAAAATGCTAACGGACATTGGCACAGAACTCAAGATAACCCTTATTACTTATCGTAGCTGCACATACAAGATATCCGATTAAAGCTGAGACTCCACAGATTATGTAGGTACATAGTATCATCACTGAGTGATCCGGACTCGCGACAGGGGAAGCAAATACAGTCATCACAACACGTACCTTCACAGAGCTTCTAGGGAGATCGTCTCACCGCCGTAGCTGTCAATCTGATCAAAATACGTGTTCAATGGCATTAAAATGAGAAAAAACGCGGCTGAATCGATTAATCCATAGGTTTTTAACGTCTATGTATAAAAAAATTATTGAATTTATAATCCATAATTCCATTTTTATGTAAACATCGGAGAGCAAATGCTAGCTGCTAATGGTTGCCACCACAGCTAGCTGCTGCTTCCGGTCAAGCAGCAGTCTCAGTGAGATATAAATATATAAATATCTTTGCGTTTTGGACTAACTTTAAAATATTCCCATGCTTTTGAAGACCTAGGGCGAGATGTTTTCGTTTGAGGGCTTCGTGCGCAATCCTGTGAGGTTTCAGTCTCCATTGTGTTAGAAGTGCGATTGCGAACTGCTTGTTGCTTTGGGTGACCCACGTGTGTGTGGCGACCATATATACAGTCTATGGTGGCGACGCGTCGACGCGGAAATATGTCATCGACGATATTTTGAAGTCGACGCGTCGCTACAGCACTAGGGTTGACATGTGGATATTATCCGGCTAAACAAAACGTGATCCTTCTCTTAAATGTGTGTCAACCACAGACCTTATTTCGAGCTATTTTCCAAAATCCTATGGAGAAATTGCATTGTGTTTTTGACGAAGGAACCGGAAGAAGTTTACTTCCGGGTTTTAGGACGCGTCACTGCGGTCCTCTATGCATGCAAAATAAAAGTAAAAGGCATTTCAGAAACAGGGCCAGCTTGAAAGGGGACTCTGGGGGTTTGATGACATCAAAGAGGAGGGACAGGCACGGTTACCGGAGGGATGACGAAGAGTTCGCTGCCTATGAGGTCGAAGAGGCGCACGGTGCCAGTGCTGTCGGCGTAGCCCAGCAGGGTGCAGTCGTGGCTCCATGCCGCCTTTCACCACTGGGGGTTTGGGTCCTTCGGCACTGTGGCAGGAGAAAGAAGAAAAAAGACTTGAAAGCTCAAACAAACGGAGAAAGGGTGAAGAGAGATTCAGGGAGCCAGGGATTTGTTATTAAACTATACTCTCTGTGAATAATCCCTGGTGTTTTGAGGAGTGCCAATGATGGATACAGATGGGAGAAGAAGGATGAAGCTAATGCCATACATCAACACCGTGGGTCTCAGGACCTATCCAATTCATGTGTGAAGGATAGTTAGACTAATACATCTCAATAAATGTCTCTCAAAGACGCACAGTTTCCCAGGCGCGCTATCAGGACAGAAAGAGGGAATCTTTTTTCCTGAAACGTTCAGAATCTCTTTACACAGAGGGGACACAGTAATGAATAAAAGACATGAAAAAGTGGATTTTACACAATAGGTGACCTTTAAGACACAATGAGTAGGATTTTCAGTATAAAATCATGGCCCACTATGACTTTTGAGTAAACCAACGGAAAAAAAAAAAAATCCTACTCCTTGTCCCTTTTAAATATAAAAAATCCCAATACTAAAAAAGAAATGACTTCCTAACATCAAAGTGTATTTACTTTCAGAAAGTTTGGGCCTCCCCATGTTTCACGTAATTAATACCAACGCAGCAGGCCATTTTAATTAAATAGCTAATCAAACAATAAAGGAGATTTATTTTATCAGCTGCTTCTAATGAGTGGCAGTGTATGGGATGAGAGTGATTATCTGTGTCCCTCTTACACAATCCAATTAGCCACCGTGGTTGATATTTCGCTTTGAAACAAACTCCAAGTAGTGTTCGAACACAGGCTTTGGACACTGTTAATGAAGAATACAAGTTAAAAACGTGTTGTGAGCTCAAATTAAACGGCGGAGAGGGACTTACCCTGGCACTTCCCAATGATCGAGCCAAAGTCATCTCTCACAGACCTGAGGAGCAAACACACCAGTGAAAAAGCAGCGACATGACAAGGATACACACACCCAAGGGTGCAACTGTACACACTTTTAGCCTTAGATGACCTCATATAACGTGGGTTATAATTGCCACTTATGGCCTCCGAGCTGTAGTAGCTCAATGGATCGAGCAGACAGGGTCTTGAGAGTAGGCAGTGTTTAGACAGACTCTTAAACAAAGCTCAATGGATAAGGCCTTGAGCCGACAAAACACCCACTCACACCGACAAATGCCATAAAGCAAGTCTATCACACACTCTGTGATTTAACAACAGGGGTGTGTACAAAGGAGTACGGAGAAACCCAGTACATCAATCTGAGGCATAAGAGGAGATTGGTCTCGATTACATCGGGTCAACTGAGTCAGAGTGAACAACAGATACTTTCTTTATTTTTACGTATTGATATGTGAAAATGACTTTCAATTACGCAGAGGGTCAAGAGGAAGGCAGCCCTTTGAGACAAATCAGTCGCAGAGAGAGCAAGACATGTTTGTATACCTGCTTTATTGCTATTGATTTTCATTTCAATTTTGCTCCATTTAAAGCACTACATTGTGTCAATGGAGCACAGTGCTGAGCAGGCACATTTTTCCCTTGTAAGGGGGAAAATTGGATTTGTGTCGGAAAATAATTACAACGGCTCAAAATGAGCACAAACACGCTCATGTGCATGTATGCTTTGGTCGATGATGGAAACATTTAGGCAGCACTTGGGTTTTCAATTTGCTTTCATTTATTTTATGTAGCCCGAAGTGCCACACATGTTTTGCTAGGATTGCTAAATTGACTCAAATGTTTTCTACTATGACTGATTGAGTTGTCTTTGATTGTATTGATGCTTTAATAAAGCATCAATACAATCAAAGACAACTCAATCAGTCATAGAAAAACGAGCTGCAGTCTAAGCTTGTATCTGAAGAATAAAGTTTATTCTTCAGATACAAGCTTAGACTGCAGCTCGTTTTTTTTAAAGGGAGATGTGATTAGCCATCTTGTTAATTAAAACTCTCTATCACTCGCACACACAAAGACAGGGAGCTTCAAACAGCGGGAGAGAGTTCAATAATTACCTAATCTCCACACACTGGTCCTGAACCACCGCCAACAGTTTGCCATTACTGTGGAGAGAACAAGAGGATGGTCAGGAATGATCAAGAGAGAGAGAAAGAAAAGAGAGCAGTGGCTGAGAGGAGGTCAATATAACCAACATTTTAAAAAGTGGAGGTGAAATGAATCCATGGTGATTAATAAGAGTGTGTGTCTGGAGGACCAGGGAGATAAAGACTGTAATAAGAGCCAATGGTGGATGGCTTGAAGAGAGGATCTGGGATCGATTGCCAATTAAAAAAACGGCCTTTCTGTTAGGTGTGTTTGCTGCAGTGAGTAGAATGAAATGATTGGTCAAGGGGATAAGCAAAAGGGAGAGGAAACCAAAAGGGAGAGGAAACCAAACGAGAGGGAGGCTTAGAACAGCAAGTCAGCAAGAAAATTGTCTGCTTTCAGGTGTGTGTGTGTGTGTGTGTTTTTATAGCACCTTTGCAAGCACCTGCTTATGGGCGAGGCGCACAAGACCCAGAGGTAGACAGGAGCTGGAGGGGCTGATGTTTACAGGAACAGACAAACAAATCAAGGATTTACATGTTAATGAATTAGAACAAGAAACAGCTAAACAGTTATAACTTAACTTAGAAGTATTTTTAATGAGGGGTAAAAGTTCCCAGTAAACTTTCACAAGGCTGATGTGAGCAACTTTTACTGAGGGACTGATCTCCAGGGAAAAGAGAAGCAACGGGTGCAACGGCTGGATGACATCATTCTTAATCACTGTGTCTAGAGTGCTGGGTTGAAAAGTCAGTGAATCTGATGTAAAACATTGATCACTACATTAAAGTGTGAGCGGGAGATATATTAGCATAGATGAGACCATTTTTTATTAAAATTAATTATGATTTAAATGTGTTTAAGTCAAAATAAAGAAGATATCACTTAAAGGTGGTGTAGGTAATTTTGGAGAAACCCGCTCGAGTGGGTAGGTCATCCAGTTATTTTAGCCAAGCCGGCTAAAATGATTGGTCGTGCTTTTTACAGTACTACGGCTTCCACAGATGACATTTTTGTATGGATTATTTGTCAAAGCACTTAAGATATTCATTGCTATCGGGATGTTAAGAGCATTCCATGGAATATAACAAAAAGTGTATCTCGAGCCGGTTTCTCAAACTTACCTACCCCACCTTTTAACTTGAACACATTCAGTAACATTACAAATACAATACCCAAAATGTAGACAAATTAAATTACACTCACTTGAATGAAATAAATGTAATTAAATAATGTATATTTTTTTTTATTTCATTGAAATTAAATAAACTTTAGAAATGTTGTTCCTAAATTAAATAAAAATACGCAATACAATCATCATCATAAAAGTACTAGCCATGAAATCAGCTTTATTTATTTATTGAATTGAGGGGTTATTTAATGTAAACATTATGAACTGTGCATTTTTGTTTTGAGTTTTATCAGTCCTGTAAACTGCCTTTCTTAGTGTGCAAGTAGTGGAAAATGTTGCCACCGCTGGTGTTATTGGATTGATTTGATTTGCTGTGCAGTTTAGGATTTGGTGAAATTAATTCTTCCAATCTTGTTTTGCAACAAAATATGCATTTGAACGTTCATCATCATTGCATGTTTGTACTGTACTACGACACATGGAAGGAATTCAGCCCACTCTGCTGGGTCATTTGTACTGTAATCAAATCCCTGATTTCTCATCCACAAAAAGAGAAGGGAAGCTAAGAGACAAGCATGACTAGAGGAGGTCTTAAATATTTAATGAGTTTATTGATGGTGCAAGCTAACCACCTGCTGATGAGATAAGCAGGCCTTGGTGATACAGCACTACAGAATCCACTGCAGGCCAGATAGATAAAGCCATCTGTTAAAGAGGTTTCAACAGATACTGTGCGATAAGAGCAAGGTAAAAAATGATGCATCTTGAATAAAGGATTGTGTCGACTTTTGTGAAGTAGTTTTCAGGAGGTACAGATAAACCAGTAGGGTTCCAGTTGTGTTGGATTATTTATAAATTATTTAATTCCAGGTTAAAGTAAAAAGCACAGGCCTATTTTGGTCAAATAATAGAACTAGTAAAATGGCTCTAGGTGAATTGGTAACAGGTAACACAAATCCTATTTTCCTTTTTAAGTAGTTCAGTGTTAGTGCGGCTATTATGGTCATTTTTAAATAACCATAAAAATATAAAAGACTGCCACCATGATAGGAAACATTCGGAGCAAAGCTATATTATTATAATTGTATTGTTATTCTGAAGACCCATATTTGTGTAGCTTTTTTGAAGTACCAAACCAAAAAAAGATGTCATGGTCAGTGCTTAAAAAATGCACACCCTTTTTTGCATTCATAAAGATAGCTGATTACAAGCTGTCTACAGACATTACAAGTAATACCTGTGTTTTAAATGTAATGTAGTCAAACACAGCCACATAACTCAGTTCTAAAAGTCACACTATTCATAAGCACCATGAATCACAGTTGTATGTGGCATGTCAGCCATTACATTGTGGAAATAATTATAAAATAAGTCATGTAAACCTGCTAGCATAATATTGATAAACATACCTGTACCACAAGTAGTGCAAGACTAAACGCAGGGCCGCCCCTGGCCAACTTGGGGCCCCAATCGACATTGTGAGATGAGGCCCACCCCCTCCCGACAGGAGTAAAACATTTTTTTTGGGAAACAAAGTAGGCTACTTTGCAAATATAATTCCTGTTTATTATTATTATCAACACAGTTACTTTTTTATACAGTGAGGTAAATGGTAAATGTGCTTGTATGTCGTTCAGTATGCGTTTACAGGTGAATACGTCTGCATTTCCTGCCAAATACTAGCCTCAAAAAGATTACAATATAATTAATGCAAATAAACTACTTCTACTAATAATAATCATAATCAATTCAATAATATAAATACTATATTATTGTATTGTAATATTGTTGTAATAGTCAAGACAAAACATGCTTATGACATGCTCAAAAACTGATATTTCTTAAATCTGTATTCAAATGTAGTTCCCTCTGTCAGCAATGTATCAACAACTACACATGCATTTCTATCAGTATTTCTCTGTGTTGAGGTTGACATGATGATGACTGTTAGGAGTTAAGGGGAGAGGCTGAGTATCACCATGAAATGTGCAAATTGACATAAAAATGAATAAAAGGGGGAAAAATGCTCCATGTTTTTTAGGCTGTAAACTTTAACTGTTATGTAAGCCAACTAGACAGACAGTTTATCACTCTTCCTCCTGTACATTAGCAGATAAAAGGCATAACATACTTAAATGAATGTTAAATAAAAAATGCTGGAAAAAACTGCATCTCCATTAGCCTATATGCTATGCAGAGACTGCCTTCTTCATGTCGTGAATTGCAGCTGATTTTTTAATATGGCAATTGGCAATTTGACTTATACAACATTCGCAAGTTGTACATTTGACTCATACAATAACCCACCTTCGAGTGATGCTCTAGTTTCTTCATGTTTTGTTTTTTCCCCCTCTTGCTTGCGCTGGACTGAAACTGTCTTTTCACCGACATCTCTTCATCTGCACTAGTGGCCGTATCAAAGCCGTGATTGGTCAGATGTTGATTAATTGCAACGGTGTCGGGTTACAGACGTGCTCCCCTTGTCACCTCTCACTCTTGCGGGGGTGTGTGGAGAACTGCACACAGCAGCTGAGGCCCTCTGGGCGGGGCCCCCTGCAGCCTGCGTGATTGGCCTGTAGGGAGGGGCGGCCCTGACTAAACGGAATGGCCCTGTAAGAAATATATCACAGTTAGTAAGCATCACAATAGGCGCATTCACACCGCAGTACTTTTCCCACAAAGGTTCATGAGAACTTAGTTCATGAGAACTCTTTAGTTCTCATGAGAACTCTTTAGTTCTCATGAACTAAGTACAGATCGCGTTCACACCGGAATAAGTCCCTGGGGGTGGATCATGGATGTATAATAAGAACTGGATACAGCGTGGGAGGCGGGGCCTCATTAATTCCTATGAGAGTTGCTCAATGGCGCATGATGACAAAATGGCCCAACTTTTGAGAGAGCGAAACGTCACAGATTACCTGGCATGCCTGAGAAGTACCCGTATGTGCACTCATAGAGCATGAGCAACTTTAACCACGCCGCCCAAAAGGCTCGTTCACATTAAGCACATGCATTTGCGTACACGTAACAGCTCATGACAGCATGGTACTGGATTTATATTAACGAGGCGGCAGTTAGCAGCTAGCGGCTAGCTAGTAAATTATGCTAAATTACACATCAATCGTTATGTACTTTTATATTACGCTGACATCAGGATCTAGTGATATCCAAGCAACAGAGCTTCATTTAGCATGATACTTGTGTGGGTTGTACATGAAACCACTTGGTAATATATAAAAATGTATATGTTGAAGCCTGTTATGATCAATTGTGAGTTAAAACTTTATCTAAAAAGTAAAGCTGATGATGGATTACTGTGGTGGAGTTAAAATAACAATAGCCTATTTCTTTTTGAAATGTGATGGAGTAAAAGGATAGTAACTGTGATTATTCATGTTAAGTAGTCCACAAGTAACTAAAACAATTGCAAGTGCAATAAGAAGCTACAGGAACGTTAATCTACGTCGGTAATATTAACTTTATTTAATACAACATTTACGGTACAAGATTTACATCATACAGCCCATGTAGTATAATATTTTACAAATGATGAATTACAGCAAACATGTGCAATATATCCATTATTACAGCTCCGTGGGATGGCAGTAAGGCGATATGGTCCGTTGTTATTGTGCATCCATGGATAAAGAGAAACTCATGTAGTGCTGAACACGTGACATGAACGTGCAGGGCGGCGCGGTCCCGTGGGTTAGATGCCGTTCATAATGCCGAGGGAAATACCTCTCAGAATAACGTTATTAGCACATTTTTACAACTTGAGGAACGAATGTTTTTAATAAGGGCTATACAAGTGTTCATACTGGGTAGTTTATTTAGTTTAAAAAAAATTATCCAACGAGTTACAGACCACTCTTTCCCAATGTAAGTCAATGGGAAAAAGTGTTTCCGGGCCCAGCAACCAAAAGGAAGTGTAGTACCGCCGTTTGACCAGCACGAATATTTTCATCTGAGTCCGGCGCACTTCCTGGGGGCTTGGGTGGATTAGGCAAATGAAGCCGCTGACGTCACTTCTTCTTCTTCTGCTTTGGGTTTACTGGCAGGCCGCAAACCACTTCACGGCGTATACTGCCGCCCAAAGTCCCCGGCCGGAAGTCCCCGGAGTTGGGGACTGGCTTCAGTAGAAACTGCTGGGACTCCCAGCAGCTTCTACTGAAGCCTTCCGAGTAAATCGCCAAAACGCCGACACCTCCTCATCTCCACCACTCCCATGTTTTATTTTGTGTTGCCATAAGTTAGTCTCTCTGCGTTTCTGCGCTGGGCTAATGCTAATAATGCTAATGCGAGGATAATAAAATGGCGGCTTCACAACACTTTTTGGGAGTTTTACGGGGCGTGGTTTTCAATCCGCCCAGCCAATCAGAAATATAGCTCTTTTCTCACAAGAGAGCCGCTCGAAAGGGACTTTCGTGGGGGTAAAAAGGTTCTCATGAACTAATTTTAGTACCGGCTCTTTTTGGTGTGAACGCGACAAAAGAGTTCTCATGAACTAAGTTCTCATGAACCTTTGTGGGAAAAGTACTGCGGTGTGAATGCGCCTAATGGTAACCCTGTGGTCAGGGTCGGCGTCATGGGGGGTCATTCGCGGGCCATGCCCCCCCAAATGAGTCACTGTGCCCCTCCAACGACCCTTATTGCCAATTTGCCATTTTAAAAAAAAAATCATATAAGTTAAAACGTTTCCACCAAAAGTTTTTTGTGTGAAATACATCAGAAATAAAGAATACACATTTGTATTCTTTATTTATTCTTTATATGAAACACAGCCTGAGGTGTGCTCACTGCTGCTCTCTGATTGGTGTGTTGCTTGACCAATGACCCCGACTTTTGTTTTGTTATCATTACGTAGCTGTGTGTTTAGATGAAAGCCCAGTGGCGATCTGTCCATCTGTTATACTGATTATACAGTAAAGCCATCGAAAATAATATGATATACAGTACAGTACAAGTACATGGGTCTCTGTGTTTCATTCAAGCTCGGCTCTCTGTGTGTGGCACGAGCGCATTTTGTCAGTGCGCGAGCGGTAACGTGGAATATTGTTGTTAGCATCTGGTTAGCTAGCTATGCTAACGGATATAAAGAGCTGTTTCTACACCAAGGTGGAGGAGAGTCCTCTCCTGTCAGACTGAGAGGATCTTATAACGTTAGCTCAGTGGGGTAAGGACTCTCAGTGTTTAGATAGTTCACTTTAGTGTAAGTTATCTCAGTGGGTCTCAAACGGTTTGGTCACCATTTATGTAAACAAGTATTTGCGAGGAATAGGCTACCTTTATATGATCATTATAGTTATTAAAGAATAAGAGAATAAATGAAAAACGGGTATGAAATACTATAGGACAATAACACAAGAATACCATTTAAAAGGGGAGTGATTAGTAAAATATCCATAAAGAAAAAGTAAATCTGTTTACAGTTGTGTTTCATATGGATGTTGAGAGATGTATCCATAGATCTCTTCATTTTGCTCTCAAAGTGCACCAGATTGATGCTTTTAACTTCAATATTTTAAAAATAATCTTCCCGGGGGAGCATGCCCCCAGACCCTCCTAGAGGAGGTTAGGTCCACCCCCCACCTAAAACATGTTCACATGGATAGGATACTAAATACATTTGCACACTTTTCATATGGTGGCCTATGTCCATATGTTTCTGTTTTGGTGATCGTGCCACAACCGTGCATGTATGCACAGGTCATAGGTGCGCTATACAATAGCACTACACCCCTGCAATGTGTGTGAAAGACAATAGACTTTACAGCATGTTTTTTTTAATTGAAGTTGTGTTGGTGTTTGTGTGTTGGTTGTTGACGGCAGTGTGTGCCCCCCCTTGGTAAATGATTTCCCCCCCATTTGATTTGTTCTAGAGCCGACCCTGCCTGTGGTAATGACATATTTGATGGACCATCTGTCTCTTGTCACATTCTATATTAAAGATTAGGCACTGTAGACAAGGACATATAGGACATACAAATCAGTCTTTTTACCCCAATAATGCATAGGATGTCATGAAAGACACTAATATAGCACTTTCCAGGTCTGATGATCATGATTCTGTCACCTCCTACAGTAAGATTAGGGAAAATGTGTTTCCCTGGTTATAAAGCTAGGAAGGAAACTTATGTTTCCTATTTTACTTATTTAGATCTAGCATATTGATAGGCTACAATTCGAGTGAACAGACTGATTTTGTGATGAAGTAAAGCGCCCCGTTTCGCTGTGCAGAGTATCACAATTAGGCAACAAAAAAAGAAATGCTTACCTGTCACTGCTTTGGCAATAACTGATATGTTGTGCTCCTCGCAACTGTAAATTGACATGAAAGTGACATGTGAGCTCAGCAGTAGCATCGGGGTCATCATTTTGATTCGATAATTTTAATTAACGTGTGACAGCGCCAAAGTTAGGCTAGCATCCACATACTTGCGAGGCTATGGCTCGCTTAGTGGCGCGGAATATCAATGTTACCGAATGAATGGAACTTAACTGCTGATTGCAAAAATAATCATGATGAAAAATGAAAGCTACACTATAGGTCAATGTGCAAGGAGAATGTGAGGATTTGGCTAGCAATGTGTTGTGCTACGTGGCTTTGAGCGGCTGAACCAGGGGCGGACTGGGACTACAATTCAGCCCTGGAAACTGACCCAGTCCGGCCACATGAAATGTCAAATGTTAGAAATCCGCTGTTTATTATATAAAGTTTTACGTCCGATTCACTCCTTTTTTCCTCTACACAGCTCCAGTTTGGGCATTGGCCTGTCATCAGATTTCATTTTTAGTTGCTGCTGTAGCGGAAGTTTAGTAAAATGATGTTTGATGAACTACTCCAAATCTCCACCCTCCATAATTGCACTTGCTTCAGTTGCTTGCTACTTTTTAAGGGTGGTGATGACAGTTCCAGTATGAACCATAGACTGTATATATAAATGGACGTAGTGTCCGTGACGTCACCCATAGGATTCTGCAGAGTTGCCGTGAAGCCCTTAGTAGGCGGAGTCGGCCACTAACGACTCGACTGTGACGTCAGAGTCTAATCCCGCCTGCTCCAAATAAGGGCAAAGAGGCGGGACCTGCTGCCTCCGAACTGGAAGTAAACAGAGCTAGCTCAGGCTAAGAAGCTAAGCTAACATGAAATACATGCATACCAAGTTACTGCTAACAGTGTAGTTCCCCTATATAAACGTTACATTCATAATCAAATGAGACAATCTGCAAGAGAATTAGCTATATTTTGTTATTCTTAATGCTTGTCATTCACACGTTGATAAAAGACGGACTCCACCGCCCGGACCTAACGGAGCCGCAGTGGGCTAGCTCCGGGACGCCGGCTGGAGCTAGCCCCCTGCGGCTCCGGTGGCCACCACTGGGATAATTGGGTCCCCTATTAACATTTGCTCCCGTTTAGCATTATGGGCGTCATAGCCATAGACTATAACATTCTTACCCAAGGCTGAATCATAAACTAAAATGTATATGTATGCATAAAGGGTTACGTCCTTAGCTGGCTAATAAGTAACAAGCTAAGCTACCAAGCACACAAACACCTGCGAACGGGGTTAACATGTATAATATTATCATTTTAGACTTCTTGGAAGTTCCGTTAGTACATTCAAGCGCACAGCACGACATTTTAATTGTCTGGTATTTGTAACAATATTCCCTAAAAGGCACAATCACCACGAACACGACTAAAGCTAAAGGGTCAAGTACAGTAGGCTACTATGACTAACGTTGTAGCCTCTATGGTTGTAGCCTAGCAGAGTGGACAAGTTGCTGTTAGCTGACAGTGAGGCATGTACGTGTCCATCAACGTGACCACGCCCTAATTTATGCAAACACTTTAAGACCTAATATAAATAAAAGGGTCGTGTTAGAAAACAATTCACTCACAGATTCATAATCATGAAGGTGGAATCTAACTATATCGATAATAATATTTATTGCATCCATGGGTAGAAACATGTCTTTTTCTGCTGTAAAGTTGGGCATTTTAACATGGGGGTCTATGGAAATTGCTCCTTTCTGCAGCCAGTCCCTAGCGGCCCATGTATGAACTGCAGTGTGTGGCACTTCCGTATTGGCTTCCCGGCTGTTCCCCAGAGTTTGCCGCTTGGTATGAACTGAAGTTGATGTGATTTGATTGGATTGTGAGGCATGACGTGAGCCTCATCTGATTGGTCAATCCCTTGATTTTTTTCACCAAGGGAAGCCAATTTCGGCTGGCCTCCTCTCGCAACAGAGTGCAATCTACTGTTTCACCATAACATCTAGAGGAGCGCTGTTTCACTCTTTGTAAAATACTCAATGAGAATGGAGGAGAGATGGGCCGGCAGAATAATTACCGAAACTAAACTAAGTGTTTTTATTTATTTATTAAAATGATAACTACAATCCAAAAAAACAGGGGAAGCCTGGATTCCCTTGGCCTCCAGGAGAAAACGCCACTGAGTTCAAGGGATAATTCTCACCCACCTCTTGCTCGTGCCCTGCACTTGTAGCCTATGTGCCAGTTGAGCTGGTTCTTCCAACAGCTCAACTCTGTCCCTCATCATGAACGCAGGAGGCTGGCTGTATATCTGAACTCGCGCCCTCATCATTCTCTTCATCATCTTGCACTTGTTCTAAGCTGCTGCTGATAGTGCTTGTAGCAGCGCTGCTGCCAAAAAGGTCTGTCAATTTGCGACATTTATATGCTTCAACTGCGAGTGACTTCACCTTTTTTTCTCTTGCCTTCTCGGCCCCACCTTTTTCTTTTTCTTTTCTTTGATTTGTATCCATGTTTTTTCATTCTCCCTGTCTGCCGCGGCGTCTAATCCCTTCTCTTCGTGTGGCCGGTCTTTTTTCTTCTTCGTGTGTGATTATTTGACAGATAAGAACCACACAACTGCATTAGCGGCCGCTGTCGCCCTCTGTCGGCCGGCAGCGCAACTTAAATGATGACGTTATACAATTATTTTTAAAGGGCCGGCCGGCCGTCAACGGCCCTTGACGACCGGCCGCTCTGTGGTTCTCCAGATTCTACAGATGGCCAGTCCGCCCCTGGGCTGAACCCATGCAACTTATTGACTCGGAGGGTGATCTTTACAGATAAATGTTCAACAAAATAACCACGTACCTAACTAAAAACACGGGAATAAAGAAGTCTGACCAACCTGAGTGTCTGTCTCTGCCGGCCATTCGTTAATAACAAGTAAATCGTACACAAATGTTTTCATCTTCGCCTTCTATCAGGCTTTCCTCAGCCATGAACAGCCTGTCAAAAAAAGTCTACGGGGAGCAGCACTGGACAATATTTATCAGGGAACCGCTTTTGGAAAATGTAGTTTACGGCCCAAGTTAAGTAATCTCATGGCTTGATAATAACTTAAATGCTATGATGTTTAAACATATACATATATGCTGTCGTAGCCCTCCTTTTATATTTAGCAATGATATATTTAACGTATTTAACGAACTAATTCACCAACCGGAACCAATTATACAAGGCTTATTTGCAGGACCACTAAGGGAGTTGCACCGAGCCGAACACGTTAACATCCGTATAAGTTACATTCGTAGCAGCAATAATGGCAGCGTTTTCGGGTAAGAATGTCTATCAATCTAATCGTGTTCATGTTGCATGAATTCAATATTACTTTAATTTTAAAAACCACGTGAGTGAAGTGAAACCTTAAATATGTATTTTGTTCAACAGAAATGGGTGTTATGGCTGAAATAGCGCAGGCTGTGGAAGAGTTAGACTGGCTGTAAGTCATTCAGGCTTATTTGGCATAATAATTGTCTGTTTTCTGATATCTGTGCATATTATTTTGACGTGTTGGACATTGCTATGAGCTTAACAGTTAACACTAAACTGATGTATTTCAATCATTGCATTTCAGACTACCTACTGATATCCAGGCGGAGTCTATTCCACTTATTCTTGGTGGAGGAGATGTGCTTATGGTAGGCCTCCTTTATTTCTTATTCCAAATGTGAACATTGCAAGTTTCCGTCTCATTTTCCTCTTTTATTCCCTTTTTAGGCAGCAGAAACTGGTAGTGGTAAAACAGGGGTAAGTACTTGACAGCCACTCAGATTATAATACAATTAACATATAAAGTTTGCATTTAAACATCAGACCAAATTGGAAACATTACAAAATGTATGTGTAATCATTTCTAATCCACAGGCCTTCAGTATGCCAGTGATCCAGATTGTGTATGAGACCCTGAAGGATGAGCAGGAGGGCAAGACTGGCAGAGCTTCCATCAAGACTGGAGGAACTAGTGAGACCCCCTAATATGAATTATGTTTTTGTTTGCACTCTGTATGTCTAACCTGCCAGCTAAAAACTGTTCAAAACATTACACAGCACTTTCTAGACTTAAAGCTCTCAAAAGACCAGTTTCATATTGACGATCCATTATATTACAAAGTATGAAAGTGGTGTTCTGTGCCGTATCTAACCTGCTTGTTTCTTTGTTTTGACTCAGTTTTCAACAACTGGCAGATGAATCCTTATGACCGCAGCCCAGCCTTTGGTAAGCAGAGACAAAATAGCATGTAATATCACATTCACTTAAGGACATTCTAACCTAAAGCTCTGCTCTTTTTGCTTTTTACTCGTACAGCAATTGGTCCAGATGGACTGTGCTGCCAGAGCAGGGAGTTCAAAGAGTGGCATGGCTGTCGCTCAACAAAAGGGGTTACCAAAGGTACAACATTCGCATTTCACAGGGGAACTAACCATTTCTTCGATTGTCTTACAACAATGAACAAGCATTTATTTATTTGCAACTGTTGCCGGTTCTTATGTATGTCTTTATTTGTCCAGGGAAGTACTACTATGAGGTGACCTGCCATGACCAGGGTCTATGTCGCATTGGGTGGTCCACCAGTCAGGCAGCCTTGGACTTGGGTATGCCCCCTTAATGCTGTACATACAAGATACTCAGTATATAATAAACTGTCTGACTAGAAAACATATTTAATCTTGTAATCTTTCTTTCTTTCCAGGAACTGATAAGTATGGTTTTGGCTTTGGTGGGACTGGAAAGAAATCCAACAACAAGCAGTTTGACAGCTATGGAGAGGTAGCTATTACTTATAGAATATTTAGATATGTAAACAGTTCTGAGATCCTTTTTCAAACTTGTTTTCATTTTCTTATTTTGTCCCTTTGCAGGAGTTTACCATGCATGATACCATTGGATGCTACTTGGATGTAGACAAGGGCCAAATGTCCTTCTCTAAAAATGGTGCGGTCCTAGTAGTTATCATTCATATTATTATCATTAACTAATTGGGGCACTATAGCAATGTTTCTTGTCTTCTTCTCTTCAGGTAATGACCTGGGTGTGGCTTTTGAGATCCCTCAACAATTGAAGAGTCAGCCCTTCTTTGCCTCCTGCGTTCTAAAGGTATCACATCAAAGTAATGCTGGATTAAAAAAACTTAACAGGTGCCAGGTTTACACCATACAAATGGCTCTCTTTCTTATCTGTGCTCAAGAATGCAGAACTGAAGTTCAACTTTGGAGGAGAAGACTTTAAAAATGCCCCCAAGAGTGGGTTTGTTGCCATGGACCAGGCGTCAGAGGGCCACGCAGTCAAATCTACTCAGACAGGTGTGTGGATACCACCTTATTTCATATGCAAAAAGAACCGATGCCGAATGTATCTGAGATGACTATCATACACCTTAACCAGAGACAATTTAGATACAACAATAGTAGGGCTGTACCCGAATATCCGAATATTCGTTCGTTGGAGTACTATTCGGGTTTCAATTTCGTTATTCGTTTTGTTTGTTTTTTCCAAGTTTTTTTTTTCAAATTGAATGTATTGAAATCTCCAATATCAACGTAAGAGCTTGTTCGGGGGGTGCTAACACTTAACCATAAACGTTATCGTTTACTTTCTCCGTCTTTATATGTAGATATTACTTTTCTCCGTTAATCTCCGTCACGTTGTTTCCAAAGCAACAACTTCCTGTCAACAGCGCTACCTCTCCTTCAAAATAAAAGTCCATAAATAAATAGGAAGCCAAGCCAAATTACACTTAAGACATATACAACTGCAAAGAAAGTAACAAACACAATGCGATATCCTTTTCCCACAAATGGAGTTGTATACATTAACAAATAACTATAAAACAACAATACTGTAGAATAACAAAATGAATGCCGTGAATACACCAAAATACACGTGTTGAAGCGGTTCGCTGCTGATTACTACCGAATATCCGGAGCCCGAAAAATGGTACTCGGGACAGCCCTAAACAATAGTTAGTTTCACAATAAAAGCCTTCTTTCGTTAGACATTTTTAAATCATATTACCAGAGCGGTCATTTTACCATTGCTAATGTGACTGATATATTCCTGCATTGACTAGCCCTCTTTTCTCTGTTTGTGCAGGCAGTGCCAAAGTGAGTCAGGTGAAAGCAGCATCCAATTCACCCAAAGCCCTGATCATCGAGCCATCTAAAGAGTTGGCCGAACAAACCCTCAACAATGTCATTCAATGTGCGAAATACGTGGATAACCCCAAACTCAGGTATGACTTTAGTGAGGTATTAACAACACTGGATTTGACAAACATCGGAAAACCATTTCCTGTGTAGTACTTATTCTGAGCCATATCTAAAAATATATATTCTGCACATTTAACCGTTATACTTTTTATATTTCCCTGCATTATCTTTTATAGATGACATTTTTGTTTTATACCAGCAGATGGAGCCAGTGATCAATTTTAAATGTTGATATCAGTAATGCAGTAATGTTTTGATGTGGCTTACAGGAACCTGTTGGTGATTGGTGGTGTGCCTGCCAAGGACCAGATGGCTGCTCTGGAACATGGGGTATGTGACATGTACCGTCTCCAAACAAACTGAGTTTACACTTTAAGTAGTTTTAACTAACAGATCTTTTTTGCCTTGTTTGCCTCTTCTGTTTCTGATTTTTGTGTCAAATTTTAATAAGGTTGACATTGTCGTGGGAACACCCGGAAGACTGGATGACCTCATATCCACCGGGAAGCTCAGTCTGTCCCAAGTCCGCTTTCTCGTCCTGGATGAGTGTGTATGTACAACACATCTTGAGTATTTCCCTTTTTAAAATCAGAAGCATTCATTTTTGCATCCAACAAAGTACAGTTAATGTTTAATCAGTGTTCCCTGTATCCCTCAGGATGGCCTTCTGTCCGCAGGCTATACAGACTTTATCAACAGGATTCATAACCAAATCCCTCAGGTCACTTCTGATGGCAAGAGACTGCAGGTAACACTTCAGATAAATCACATATGTGACAAAAAATCAGTTGTATGCTTCTTTTTTTTTTCAGACCATTTTAAACAGTAAAGTAAGCACAAAACAACACACTGGATGACTGTCAAAGCAATTTTGGGGTATTTTCTGAAAACTTTTTATATCATATGTGAGGTGCAGATTAATTAAAAGAATATGTTAACGATGCTTGTTTGTGCTCACCAGCTAGCAAAACAAGGAAACATTTGATAGCCGTAAGCAGGGGGAAGCCCAAGTGAACTATCTCAGTTGATATCTTTTCTTCCAGGTGATTGTCTGTTCAGCCACGCTGCATTCGTTCGACGTGAAGAAGCTGTCTGAGCGTATCATGCACTTTCCCACATGGGTGGATCTGAAGGGGGAGGACTCTGTGCCTGAGAGTGTGCACCATGTGGTTGTGCCTGTCAATCCCAAGAACGACCGCCTCTGGGAGCGCCTGGGCAAGAACCACGTCCGGGTGAGTCCCTCATGTTGGCCTAAAGAAACACTTCATACTGATATGGTTTGAGTTATAATGCTGGAAATTGTTTATCTCGGTTTAGATTATGTTAACAGTTTTTTTCTTGTTTTGAATAGACTGATGAGGTCCATGCCAAAGATAACACCAGACCAGGAGCAAACTCTGCGGGTAAGGGCTGATCTGTTAAGACCATTTAAAATCGAACTCTCTTGTTTTATTTGTTAAATATAATCTAAGACGAGCAATGTGCTTTACATAAACAACAACAGGGATGGTATAGCGTTTTTTCCTTCAGGGAAAATTCATGGTGAAGAACAAATGAGTGTTTGTCTGTGTTTTTAGAAATGTGGTCAGAAGCCATCAAGATGCTAAAGGGTGAGTACACAGTGAGGGCCATCAAAGAGCACAAGATGGACCAGGCCATAATCTTCTGTCGCACCAAGATCGACTGCGACAACATGGAACAGTTCTTCATTCAGCAAGGAGGAGGTATGAGTACTACTGAGAATTTCAGCCA